GCACCCCATCCCTCCCACCCTGAACCCACCACGGGGTGGGGAGAAGGTGGCCTCGGGGTCTGCCCGGGCCACCACAAGCGTCACCCCTGGTGGCCACCATCACCACCACCACCACCACCCAGGGTGGGGAGCCCAGCACCTCATCCCTCCCACCCTGAACCCACCACGGGGTGGGGAGAAGGTGGCCTCGGGGTCTGCCTGGGCCACCACAAGCGTCACCCCTGGTGGCCACCACCACCACCACCCAGGGTGGGGAGCCCAGCAACCCCATCCCTCCCACCCTGAACCCACCACGAGGTGGGGAGAAGGGGGCCTCAGGGGCTGCCCTCGCCACCATCTCCCCCCTGTCCCTCGCCATCCTTACTCTGGAGGAAGGAGACGATCTCCTCCACCGGCCGAAAGCCACACAAGCCCTCGAAGGGGGTGAGAGCGATGGCCATCTCGGGCTTGTGGTTGGCATCGGGGTAATGCTGGGGGAACTGGGCGTGCAGCTTCGCCGCCAGCTCCTGGAAAAGGGATGGGGTGGGAAGGGGAGGTGTCAGAGGAGCTGGGTGAGGTTCTCCAGCTCCTTCTCCTTGGGGTTTCTCCTGACCTTGTTGGGGTGCGCCTGGATGGAGAGGGCGGTGTTGACGGAGAGCACCTTGAAGAGGAAGGGGAGGTGGCCCTGGAAGGCGTCCTTCACCTTGGCCCCCAGGCAGGCGGGGTTGTCAGCGATCCACTGGCCCAGGGTCTTCTGAGGGATGCGGTTGTCCCGGATGACGGCATCACCCCGGGGGTGGGCACCCATCCAGAGCTGCGGGAGATGGACAGACGGACGGACGGAGGGAGGGAGGGATGGAGGGACACCCCCCCCTTCAGCCACCCGGGATGACTTGGGCTCTTCTCCAAGGCTGCTTGGCCCCGGAGGCGATGGAGGCGGCCCCAGGCAGCTCCCTCGGGGGCTGAGTCATGGCCCGGCTTCTCCTCAACTCCTCCCGGGCAACCCCACAGCTCCTGCGGGGGTACGGGGACCGGAGAGGGGCAGGGGAACCGCAGCACGGGATGTGGGGTGGGGAGAGCCACAGCCAGGTGGGGATGGGCACAGGGATAGGCAGGGATGGGATGGATACATGGCTGGGATGGAGGCAGGGACAGGATGGACAGACGGCCAGGATGGAGGCAGGGACAGGATGAAGGCAGGGATGGGATGGGCACATGGCTGGGATGGGATGGGATGGACAGACGGCTGGGATGGAGGCAGGGATGGGATGGACACACGATTGGGATGGAGGCGGGGATGGGATGGAGGCAGGGATGGGATGGAGGCAGGGATGGGATGGCCGGGATGGCCACATGGAATGGGATGGCCACAGGGATGAGGTTGTTGCAAGGATGGGATTGAGGCAGGGATGGGATGGGATGGGATGGGATGGGATGGGATGGGATGGGATAGACACATGGCTGGGATGGAGGCAGGGATGGGATGGACAGACAGCCAGAATGGAGGCAGGGATGGGATGGGATGGGATGGGCACACGGGTGGGATGGAGGCAGGGATGGGATGGATACACGGCTGGGATGGAGGCAGGGACAGGATGGACAGACGGCCAGGATGGAGGCAGGGACAGGATGAAGGCAGGGATGGGATGGGCACATGGCTGGGATGGGATGGGATGGACAGACGGCTGGGATGGAGGCAGGGATGGGATGGACACACGATTGGGATGGAGGCGGGGATGGGATGGAGGCAGGGATGGGATGGAGGCAGGGATGGGATGGCCGGGATGGCCACATGGAATGGGATGGCCACAGGGATGAGGTTGTTGCAAGGATGGGATGGAGGCAGGGATGGGATGGGATGGGATGGGATGGGATGGGATGGGATGGACACATGGCTGGGATGGAGGCAGGGATGGGATGGACAGACAGCCAGAATGGAGGCAGGGATGGGATGGGATGGGATGGGCACACGGGTGGGATGGAGGCAGGGATGGGATGGATACACGGCTGGGATGGAGGCAGGGATGGGATGGGATGGGATGGGATGGGATGGACACATGGTTGAGATGGAGGCAGGGATGGCCACATGGAATGGGATGGCCACAGGGATGAGGTTGTTGCAAGGATGGGATGGAGGCAGGGATGGGATAGGATGGACACATGGCTGGGATGGAGGCAGGGACGGGATGGGATGGGATGGGATGGGATGGACACATGGCTGGGATGGAGGCAGGGACGGGATGGGATGGGATGGGATGGGCACACGGCTGGGATGGAGGCAGGGATGGAGGCAGGGATGGGATGGGCACACGGCTGGGATGAAAGCAGGGATGGGATGGCTGGAATGGCCACATGGAATGGGATGGCCACAGGGATGATGTTGTTGCAAGCATGAGATGGAGGCAGGGATGGGATGGGATGGCCACATGGATGGAACGGAAGCAGAGATGGGATGGACACATGGCTGGGATGGAAGCAGGGATGGGATGAAAGCAGGGATGGGATAGGATGGACATATGGCTGGGATGGAAGCAGGGATGGGATAGGATGGACACATGGCTGGGATGGAAGCAGGGATGGGATGGCTGGAATGGCCACATGGAATGGGATGGCCACAGGGATGATGTTGTTGCAAGGATGGGATGGAGGCAGGGGTGGGATGAGATGGAGGCAGGGATGGAACAGACACATGGAATGGTATGGCAGCATGGCCAGGATGGGCACAGGGATGGGACGGACACATGGGGTAGGATGGACACATGGGATGGGACGGACACATGGGAATTGACACATGGGATGGGACGGACACATGGGATGGACACACAGGATGGGATGGACACATGGAATTGACACATGGGACAGACACAGGGATGGGACGGACACATGGGATAGGACGGACACATGGGATGGACACATGGGATGGGACAAGCATGGCCAGGATGGGCACAGGGATGGGACGGACACATGGGGTAGGATGGACACATGGGATGGGACGGACACATGGGAATTGACACATGGGATGGGACGGACACATGGGATGGACACACAGGATGGGATGGACACATGGAATTGACACATGGGACAGACACAGGGATGGGACGGACACATGGGATAGACACATGGGACAGACACAGGGATGGGATGGACACACGGGAAGGACACACAGGATAGGATAGACACATGGGATGGGACGGACACATGGAATTGACACATGGGATGGGACGGACACATGGGATAGGACAGACACATGGGATAGGACACACGGGATGGGACAGACACACGGGATGGGACAGACACATGGAATTGACATATGGGACGGACACATGGGATGGACACATGGGATGGGACAGACACATGGAATTGACACATGGGACAGACACACAGGATGGGACGGACACATGCGATTGACACATGGGAAGGGATGGACACATGGGACAGGATGGACACATGGGATGGACACATGGGATTGACACATGGGACGGACACAGGGATGGGACAGACACAGGGATGGGACGGACGCGCGGCCGGGCACTCACCTCCGCGTAGGGCTGGTCGGGCTGGATCTGGACCAGGGGGTCGCTGCTGGCCAGCAGCTTGGCCACCTCGCTCTCCAGCCCCACCTTGCCCCAGGAGTAGTTCTGCACGGCGCAGGAGAGGGGGAACACTGCGGGGGGGGGGGGAGAGAAGGGGAACCCGGACATTAGGG